CTGGTTTTGGGTGAGAGTGGTGCTTGGACAGGCCACTAGTGGGTGAGTCTCCTCTAAGTCCTTAGCTAGTGTTGGAGTAGAGTATGAGGTCGAGGGTTATTCTCTTAACCAAGTACCGTGGAAGGTGCGTGGTTCCTTGTAGATAGTCGGTGGGCGAACCTCACAATTGACTTGGTAGTGCATGTCAAGGTCGTGGTAAGCCTGTACCCAGTTGTGTTATACCTGACGGTGGAACTGGACTTCTAAATTGTGTAAGTGACATCATCCGAGTAAACTCGAGTAAGGATTTATATCCTGTTTAACTGTGACCAAGCAGGCACATTGGGCGTGAAAACAGTTGCGGTCACTACAAGAAAAATGCTAATTTTCAACAGAAATTTCTGACGGATCTATCGGGAAAAGTGGCATTGGAAAACAAAATCCGTCAAAAATTTCCAACAGAAAATTCCGTCAGAAAGTTCTGTAAAAAATTATAATTTTTTTAATTTTAATAAATTTATTAATGTAACAGCCTTCATATTTGACCTCTCAAGGGTTCTATTTCACGACATTTCACTTTTTAGCGTGTTCTATCCTTACTTGCGCAATTTCTGGAAAACTTCCCAGAAGGTTACCCATTCCTATACTACTACAGGTCAAGCATGCTTAACTGTAAAGTTCTGATGAGTAAGCTACCGAAATGTATATGTATGTTGTCAGTATAACTTGTATAAATTAATTGATTTAAGTTATCCTCAAATATGCAATCTCATACTTGTACTATAATAATAATATAATAATTTTATATTACGAATAATAATAATAATAATCATAATAATATATTCAATTATTCTTTATTTATATGTACTTACTTTTATAATTAACATCTACTTATTTCTATTTAAAATTATAATTTAAATTATTTAATTTTATAATTTATAATGATAATATAATTTATAAAATTATAAATATTTATTTATTACATACTTATAAATTAAATTTTAACATTTTAAATAAATTATTAATTAATTTAATATATTTATTTAACTTAAATCAAACATATAAAATT